AGGAAACCCTAGTGCTCTACATATGGCTATAAATATAGCTTCTTGTATAGCATTTAATATCAAGTATATGAAATACAACAATAATGGTTCATAAAAACCAATGTAGTCAAACAAGGAACTTAGTTGACTATATACATACACACAGACCCTTTTAAAGTACCCTTTTCCACCTTCAAAGGTAGATTTGTATTATTGTGCTAGTAGGTTTTGTGCGATGGCATTTTGTAGCATCCATCCATCCATCCATCCATCCACGCGCACGCGCCCACGCACGCCCACGCACGCACCCACCCACGCACGCACCCGCGCGCGCACACGCACGCACGCATGCGCACACACACACACGCACGCACGCACGCACGTACATACATACGTAATACACACATATATACATATGTTTGTGGTTGGGTGTATATATGTGTATCAGGTTTGAATAAAAAAATGGAACTTTCCATGAAAAGTTCAAACGAATACATTTTCAATTCAATACGGTCCATTACAACACTCCAACAATGCACTTTTTGTGGTGCCTGAAAGTTTTGGCGCTTTGACTGCACTGTTGACCTATTTTAAACAATTAGATTTCAAATCTGGTGCCCCAAATTTAATCGCATTTTCTATGGGGAGGACATTTTCTATTTGAAGCACAATCTATAAACACACATATGTGTATATAAGTGTGTGTATGTATAAACACACATTGTACTACCTCTCCTGTTCACCCTCTTTATCAGAACCTGTGATTACTCCCTCTCCGATGTGAACAAACTCAAAAAAGATGTTTATAAAGTTCAGCAATGACAACTTAAGATACTCAATTTGGATAATTGACCGCAGAACATAGTTACTATGAAACTAGGAGGGGAATTAGACCTGAGAAGCCAACTCAGCTGTTGGTGTCAATACAATGACTCGAGGACTTTGTGATGAAGGTTTATGAAATCCTTGAAGCTCTTGTTCTCTAAGGCATTGAATAAGAGGAAGAAGATATGCCAAAGTCTTCCCAGAGCCACTGTGATCAGAGATAATGCAGCTCTTTCCTTTAAGAACATGTTCAAATGTCATCGCCTGCAATTACCTTGAATGCTTATAGTATCATTTTATAAATACTTCAAAATGATTTTCAATAAGCCACAATACAAATGTTCTGAGTAACAAGACAATATGCATGGGGTTTAGATGGAACCAAAAAGGGAAATTATATTATACGTAGCTGTGAATATATAACAGTATGTTATAGATAACCACATAAAAAAGAAAATATATTTTTTAGAATTGAGGTTGAAGCAACACTATTGTGCTTAGAAACAGTGTCACACATGGGGTAGTCTGGTTGCAATTGAACTTGGTGATTGAAGTTATTGGGGAAGCACAAAAGGGTCCACCAATGAAAATAAAATAAAACTGCACTGAAAGGGTGCAACCATGAATCCAAAGTAAAATAAATATCACAACAGAAATGAAAATCACGTGCCTTCATGAAAATGGTCTTTGAGTTCTTTATTAGTGGTAACACCATAGTTTCAATTTTTGTATGTAAAATATGATATAAAGTTGCAGCTTGTAGCATGGATCAAATTATGCTAGAACTGTCCTTTTCTCTACCTGAATATGAGAAGGGCGTCCAAACATCTGTTTCCTTAAAGATTCAGTCAAGTAGTCAGTGCACCCCAAATCCCGAAATGATTTTTTGCTAAAGAAACTATTGTCCTCATTTAAGGTCCTTTTCTTTCTGTAGAATTCATCTACTTTACCCCAACCCACCATGTGATTAACAGTGTCTTTTAAATCAGAAAGATTTGGTGTGATAGATTTGGCATCAGACTCCTTAAAGTCCTTATTTCGCATGTGAAGCTGCAAAGTTTCATTTCCAGCAGCTTCATTGGAGAAATCCTTTGACATCCTTCTCCTCAGGTTTTGCAGCAGCGCTTCTGAATCTGCTGGCTGTTCAGAACTAGAACTACCATTGAGAAGATCAAATCCTTCCTGCTCCACTAAATGGTTACTTTTTGGGATGACAGAGACCCTAGCATTCTGTGCATCGTGATTATGAAAATCACCATCTTCTTTTTTTGTATATCTTTTCCTAACAAGAGCTCTCATCTTATGGGATTTCAGTCTGCTAAAGTTTTGCCCAAGTGCCTTCTTAGATTCTGGATACCACAAAAAGATGAATGAGCAATGAAAGAAAGAATGCAGATGAACTATTTGAGGGTGACAGGGATATTGACTTTGATTTTATTTTTTTGGGAGGTGGTGGATGTTAATTTGTCATACTAATATTCTTGCTTTGATAAACGTGTTTTTTTGTTAAAAGAATATGCTTCTTCATCTCAAATTGGAAATTGACTCTTGAATTGAAGCTATAGAACTTTTATTTCCTATTATTCTTTAGGCCTTATTTTAAATATGAGCGTTATTTGGTTGGTCACGAACTCTAAACTAATGGTTAGTAACGAAGAAGATTGTTATTTGTCATCCTTTGCGCCTCAGGCTCTAGGAGACCCTTTGCAACTTGGTTGTGCATTGCTCCCTTAACAGCTATGCTATCTATTAGATGTTGCTTACATTATGATGAAGGAAAAATTTAAAGATTGCAAGTACCATCTGCTGGTAAATAAACTTGTAATTGGACATTGCAGTGATAATATACGTACTGCATCTCACCCTTATTGAAGACAAATATATTCAAGACTAATTTAAACATCAACTTATGCCGGCAAAAAAAATCTTTTTTTTTTTGCAAATTCACACTTTATTTGGTGACAGCAGCCGAAGGTAAGACTGTTGCAGATTTGTGTTGAACTTCATTATAGTCTGTTGCTTAGAAGCTATCAAAAGGATTAATTACTACAAACTGACTATGAAAAACAGGAAGACCGAATTCTACCTTTGAAGTTGCCGCCATCACGGCCGTTTGCTTGGTCGTTGGTGTTCCAGGCGGAGTGAATATTATTCGAAGGGATACCGGAGAATCCATCATCGTTCTCGACTCCTCCCCAAACGATGATTTTATCTCCAGTATCTTTATCAATAAGCTCGTAAGCGCCGGCGGTGTCCATAGGCCTGCGAGTATAAGAGCTTCGAACTGCCACAACCGCCGCTCTCCTCCTCCTCCCCCTGCAGCTAAAAAGCTTTTCGTCATTCATGAGAGTAGCGCTGGGAACAAGTTGCAGCAGCTTGGCTCTCCCCAATTCGGAACTATGTAGTATAAATGGTGGCGGACCCATAGCGACCGCCATCACTGCGGCTTCGCTGAGCAACATCACTTGTCAGTTCAAAAGCTCAGCTCCAGTGTCCATAAGCTGGACAATTGCATTCGGTTCAATAAACAATTCAAACTCTTTAGAATTTATCACTATCAACCAGATTATATCATATGCATATCAAGTTCATTTCTCAAAATATAATGGAATTACCATATTTAATTAGAGTCTAAAAACAAACTACTCTGTATCAAATTGGCCATCCAAGTATAAGAGGCTTTTGGATCTGATTCTTAAAATTCTTCAGCTCCTTCAGGGAGCAAAAACCGAAGTTTGAGTGTTTGGGTGAAAATGCAGAAGTGATTCTGGTGCTCTAATTTACTCCTAGAATCAGTTTTTTTAGAAGCTGAGGATAGCAGCTTTTGAAAATTGATTCTGATTCTGCTTCTGCTTTAAAAAAAGAAGCAGAAGCAGAAGCAGAATCAGTTCCAAACACCCTCTAACACAATCAATTAGGCCCTTCAACTAAAACAACACCTAATTAAGTGTGTGAATTATACTACCTCAGTAACCCTAGAATCTTCTCAGTTTGACTCTTTTGGGTCAAACTTTATAAACTTTGATCATTAATTATTCAAAACTCACATTATGTTATGATTAAAAATTTATTTCATATAACTCATTGTAAAACATATTATTTGAATGTTAATTTATTATGAATTTTATAAATATAGATATGTAGATATTTAGAGTCAAAGTTCAACTTAGAAGACCGTGAAAAGTCAAAATTGGAAGATCTTTGTGTTAGAGAAGTAATATATAAAAAGAAAAGAAAATTATCAAACGGGTCCACGTACCTTTGAGAAATAATCAATTGAGTGCTTGTAGTATTTCTCGAATTAATTGAGTTCATCAAGTTTTATAAAATCACCAAATCCGCTACTTCAACGGTAAGCAGTCGGTAGTTCAATTACCTAGTGTGTCTTTTTTTGCCATTTTCTATGAGTGCGTATACCGTGTAACGGGTGAGCATCATGCACCCATTGGATATTATTTTCTCTCTTTTTTTTAAAATGGTAATAATTTTTTTATTTTTGATCCGATTTTTATAAAATTTATATCAATATTTTTTATTTTTCATGATCTTTCAAATGAGAACAATATTGCCTGTGTAATTTTAACATATTAACATTTGCGTGTAAAATATGTAACTTTACGTATTAAAATATGTAACTCACGTTCAGTCATGTCAAATGCAACTCGTGTGTATAAATATGTATCTCTACGTGTAACAATATGTAACTTTACGTAAAAAAATATGTAACTCGCGTTCAGACAGGTCAAATGCAACTCGTGTGTATAAATATGTAACTCACGTGTATAAATATGTAACTTTACGTGTAAATATATGTAAGTCGCGTTCAGACATGTCAAATGCAACTCGTGTGTATATATATGTAACTCGCTTATAAAAGGATGTAACTTGCTTATAAAAAGATGTAACTCGCTTATAAAAAGATGTAACTCGCTCATAAAAAGATGTAACTCAATGTATTATCAAATGTAACTGAGGCCACTGATCCACTCCCAAAAAGATTCGATCTTCTATTTCACAAACCTATCATCTCCCAAACAGATTCGATTTTCCTTATAATCCAATACTCATTAATATAATAGTTCGATAATTTCTTAAAATTACATACACAATATTGGTCTCATTTGAAAGATCATGAAAAATAAAAAATGTTGATATAAATTTTATAAAAATCGAATCAAAAATAAAAAAGTTATTATCATTTTTTAACAACAAAAGCAAAAAAAAAGCAGCATGCTGCGTCATTTTGCAACCGGGCGCATCATCCTCGTGGTGCGCCGGTTGCACAGTATAATTTGCCATTTTCTATTGTTTTTGTACTCTTTCCTTAATTCCTTTCTTTTTCCTTTTTGTTTTTCTCCTTTATTCTCTTTCTTTTTCCTTTTATGTTTCTTTCTTCTCTCATAGAGTCCAAACTCATCTTCTTCCCACATGTCTTCATTTCCATTTTTGTCTTTTTTTCTTTCGTGCTTTCTCCCTGTCACTCATCCACTCATTTCCCTTGTTTCTACAGATCTTCATTTCCCATATTCTGAACATTTAAGGATAGGAGATTGTGGCTATAGAGGATTGGTGTATGGAGGTACGTAGGGGCGGGAGGGTGGTGGCCAGTGGATATGGAGGTAGGGGCAGCGGAGCTAGATGGTGAGTATGGAGACCAGGGAGATGGGAGTGGTAGTCTGGTGGATGTGGTGATTGGGGCGATGCAGGTCGTGGGTAATGGGTACAGAGGTAGGGGTGGCGGCGCGGCTGAAGTTGTTGTAGCCTTTAGTGGGGAAGTCGAGGTGGCAGAGACAGTGGATAAGGGGTGTGTGTTAGATTATTGGACTTATACTACATGTAATATTCACAATATATTATTTATCGGGTTTAATTGTATGTTATATGCTATCTTATATTTAGGCCCCCCAAAAAAAATAGTGATCCTATAGATATTAATTTAAGTGGGCTAATAAGTTATCTAATAAGGTATAGGGCCCAAATGTGTAGAGACTCATGGGCTTGACCTAATCAATGATGGGCTGATTAGGGTTAAGCACTCTCTATAAATAAGGGGTTATGGTCCCTAGTTGAACACGTCATTCAGTCTTTCTGCATCCCATCGCTAGAGAGATAATTCTCGAGGGTGTGTATCAACTAGAAGACGAAAACCCTAGCCTCCGTCTCCCGGATCTCTAAAGGTCATCTTCAATGGAGTCAGGTACGCTTCCGCTCAGTTAATTCTCTAGATAATTTCAATATGAAGATTAAAGTATTATCGGATTTATTCCAACAATTGGTATCAGAACCTCCTTCATATTGAATTATTTAGAGTAAGCTGAAGATCGAATCCTTATGTTTTGATCGAATGTTTCTTATTTTTCTCCGGATCGACGATTGGAGTCGGTGTCAGGTGTTTCTTTTCGACCTTTAATATGTTGATTCAGTTTTGTTTTGTTTTTGTGATTTGTGAATCGATCAGCACTGGTTTGAATATCTGAATTTTTTAATCTGCTGACTAAGTTTGATTTGCGATGGAATTGTATTTGTGTTTTCATTGATGTTCTCGTTTATAGCGATTGAATTCATAAATAAAACCTACGGTAAATGAGTTTGGCAGCCACATCATTAAATTCCTTTTTTTATTTTGTTTCGTTGCCTTAGCTTTTAGACTTAACTAAGACAATATGGAATAAGCATGTCCCAATTCAGTATAACTGTATTGGGACTATCAAACTTTTTGGGTTGCTTTACATCATGTTTTGAGTTCTTTTATTGGAATTGGCCAATTTCCGTCGATTGATTTTTCTTACGCAAAAAAAAATATCAAAGTTGTTCAATGTTCAATACGAAGTATTAAAGTTGGGTAATGCTTAATTGTTAATTGATTATGACTTATGAGAATCGTGAATGGTCCCTTCAATTTTAATCGGTATTCATATTTGAAAATTGGCAAATTGATATACATACGGAAGACCAATTTACATACGTAGTATATTTCCCTTTTGGTCTTGAGTCTTGACTATTACGGAGTACTTTCTAAATTTTGGAGGTTTTAGTTTTGGTATTTTTAAGGATTTGGTAATTAAATACTTGTATGAGATTACGGCGAATGTCAGTTCTATTGGAATTGTATATTTGGAAATAAATTACTTTTGTTGGTGATCATGATTTACAGTTTAAAAATGTATTATGTGTTATGAAAATATAAATCCTGTTTTGCGACCAAACAAGCGTTTGTGTATGGGTTTTACAAATTATCGTTATACGTAATACATTTGCATGTGATTCAGAAAATAAAATCCCAATTTTATTTTTCAGACTTTCGAGTTAATGTTAGCATGTCTAATATTTGGGTTGATTAATTGACATAACATGCTGCCAAAGTAGTCCCTCTTGTTGAAATTAATTAACTCATATATTAAGATGATTGTGTACTTTATTATTTCATGCGGATAATAATCGGCCCAAAGGAAGGTTATTATTTCGCCGAAATTTAAGTACATTTGTGATAATAAAATTTGTGATATTTATGAGGTTTTCATGTGAATATTAAGTCGGTCCAAAGAAAGGCTTAATATTTGACATGATTTTATTATCGAAATTTTTTGTTATTACACCAGGAGTACCACTTGCAAGTCTAATTTATGTCCAAAGACAAGATTAGATGTTGCGCTAGGTATCTTGTGATGGGGATTGCTAATATTTAAATTTAAAATTAATTATCAAATTAATTTCAGTTCATAGAGCATATCATTTATATTATTTTTTGTTCTCTTTCAGTCAACAATTCTGCTGCTACAATATCTGCTAATATTAACAGCATCCCAGTGCTTAATGGCACGAATTTTAAGGAATGGAAAGAGAACGTTATGATTGTTCTCGGTTGCATGGATCTAGACCTTGCACTTCGGACTGAGAAACCCGCCCCTCTTAAGGACACATCTACCCTTGCTGAAAAGAGGGAGATGGAGAGGTGGGAACGCACAAACCGCATGAGTCTAATGATCATGAAACGTGCAATTCCAGAATCATTCAGGGGCACAATGTCTGATGAGGCTGATGCCAAATCGTTCCTTGCCGAACTTAAAAAGTGTTTTGCTAAAAACGAAAAGGCGGAAACTAGTACTCTTTTGAGCACTCTTGTTTCCATGAAGTATAAAGGCAAAGGGAACATAAGGGAGTACATTTTGGAAATGTCTCACATTGCTTCAAAACTAAGTGCACTAAAGCTTATTTTACCTGAGGAATTGCTTGTGTATTTAGTTTTGATCTCTCTTCCTTCTCAATTTAATCAATTTAAAGTCAGTTACAACTGCATTAAGGAGAAATGGTCTCTCAATGATCTCATTTCTCATTGTGTTCAAGAGGAAGAGAGAATAAAGCAAGATAAGACTGAAAGTGCTCATTTGGCATCTACCTCTAAGGGTAGCAAGAAAAGGAAAATTAAGGAAGCTGCAAATTCAGGACCTCCCAGGAAGCATCATAAGGAAACTAAGTGATCAGGCTAAACTTGCAAGTGTACAAGTGCCGATATAGTAATAAATTCCGGTAAAATACCGGGTCGAATCCACAAGGAAACGTTGTTTAATTTAGTCCGTGAGTAGATAACTTTAAATGAAGAAATGAGTAAAGTGCATGGATTTTGATTTGTGTTTTATATTTTTGGCTTTTCACTTTTTGTTTAAGAAGATAATCGTTAACTAACTTTGAGTTTAAGATGAATAATAACAATAACTAAGGCTTCGGGAATCACTTAAATGCTTTAATAGGGTTGAATATTAGTTCTTTGCCAATAATTATGAATACGATATCGCTAATATATTCTCAACTCCGGTTAAGGCAGCGAGATCGTGGTTTTCGTTACGTGTAAGTCCCGTTATGGCTTACATTCATCTATCGAAAACCCCGTTGAATATCAAGACATCACACCCGTATCATATAAGACCGAATACATTTCTATTCTCGGTACTATATATGTTTATCCTTTAATGTTCATAGTTTAGATTTCAACGTTAATTGCAAGTATAAACTAAATTTAACATACTTCTATGTTGTACACCATAGTCATAAACAATCAATATATAAAGGATAAATCACAATTTATTGGTTTAGAACTTTTATCAAACACCTAGTGGGCATAGAAGTTCATCCCTAGCCTTAGCTAAGAAATTAGCCTCTAATGCTCATATTAATCACAATACAATGATAAATGTAATGAAACATAAAATTACAAAGGAAATAATACATAAACACCAATGATTTCGGAGGATGAACTTCCCTCCTCAAGAACTTGAAGAAAATACCAATAACAAAAATATAAAAGCTAAAAATTAATCTATGGAATGGAATATGTTTGTATGATGAATTGAGTGCTTTATATAGACTAAAGAATGACATCTTTTAGTCTATTCGAACCCAACAATGAGGTATGGAAGCAATATTTGATTAGCATTGAGGAAGATGTGGTTTTCCCATCAAGAATCAACTTGTACGATGTTGTTTTTTAGCAGAAAATCGACCCAACCGGCGCCGGTTGGTCAGATGACCGGCCCCGGTTGAAAACTGGCTCATTTGTGCGAGAAAAAACGTTCCGACCGGCGCCGGTTCAAGACCGACCGGCGCCGGTTGATGCGCCCAAAAATGTACTTCATTTCTCTTCCTCCGAAATGGATCAAAAAGTGTCAGTTTTGGTACCGGGATTTTGGAGATGTTACGCTACGAATTTGGACATAATTCCTTCACCAAAGTTGTAGATAGTGAAGTCTTCTATCCAACAAAACTTGAATGACGTGATTTTATTCATCCAATCAACAGAAATAGATAAAACACTGAGAGGTATGCACCCTGAAATCCCACCAGCAACATCAGACTTTATCGGTTGATTGAGTATTGTTCCTTTTCTATTCTGGCCATGATGTATTCATAACATTTGTACCTTATTGAGTTACCATTCACATGAAATTCGAATGGAGTGATTTCGAGGTCTCTACAATACGTTATACTCAAATGATGGGCAAAACGTCATCCTTTTGGTCCCAAAAGCCGTTCACCACAATGTTTTATGCTCTAACTCTCATTCTCAAGATATTTTCCCAATTTCTCTTCTTTTCTTCAACAAATACTTATAAATACTTATGTTAAACACAAGTAAATATAACGGCTATCAAATCCCCCCCACACTTGAGCATTGCTTGTCCTCAAGCAATTTCTTTGTATTGATGCACAATTAGAAAAGAAACTAAACCATGCAAATTAAAAGTTTAATAAGATGATAAAAATTAGATATAAACTCTTTAATCTTTCTCGAGGCCAAAAACCTTTTTCTATTACTCACAATAAATGTATTTAAGATTAAGTAAAATATTTAAACACTTGATGGGTTTATTTTGTGACAATTTAGGCAATGTGTGGGTATGTCGGTGTTTTTTTTTCTTGTGGACTGACAACTTGATTTTGTAGAGAAGACTATTCTAGGAGAACATGAGTTTTTTTTTGCTTTTGTATATAAACTCATATATCTAGATTGTCAGAAATGAGGAGAATCCGACAATAGAGTGATTTGGAGTTGGGATGAAACTTTTATTTTGAATTTGCACTCTATGCACATTTGTATGAATTTGGAACATTGTCACAAATTTGAGTGAAAGTTGTGGTTTCAAGATTAATAAATATTTTAATTAATCTAAAAATACATTTTTGTGAGTAAAAGAAAATCTTTCTCAACCAAAACCCTTAAAAGAGAGAATATCAAAAAAATTAACCTTCCTAGAAAAAATTTAATTTGCAAAGAAAAGTTTCTCAACTAATTATTCACCCCCCACACTTGATTTACATTGTCCTCAATGTAGATCTGAGAATGTAATGCAAGATTAAATCTTCAATAGTGGAATGAGATGTCTTTGAGAGAAGAAAATGCATGATACTTGAGCTGAGATCGATAATTTTTTTGTTTATTTTTTTTTCTTTTTTCTTTTTTTTTTCTTTTTTTTTTGATTTTTTTTTTTTTTTTTTGTGTTGGGTTGCCTCCCAATTAACGCTTAGTTTAACGTCATAGGCCGGACGAACGTACCTCTTTTAAGGCGGTGGATGTGATGCTTTTCTCCGGTAGAATTTGATCATTGTGCCTCCTTTCATCGGGTAGAGTTTCGGGAGAACTTCGTTGTTCGTTGGTGTGATCTCGAGTACGTCTTCGGGGTGTGTTGGAGGATCCTCGGGCCCAAATATTTGTGCCTTCTTGATGTCCATGATGTTTATAGCCTTGGGAGGTGTGAAACGGTTTGTGTTGTCCTTCATGTTTTGAGTTGGAGTGGATCGTGTCTTCCATATATGGAATGTTTCATCATCTCCTCCCACTCTTAGTTTTACCGTGCCCGCTTGTACATCAATGACGGCTGCAGAGGTGGCAAAAAATGATCTCCCAAGGATGACGGGGATCTCCATCTCTTCCATGTCCAAAACAAGAAAATCTACCGGGAAATAGAATTTTCCAACTTTGACAAGAACATCCTCCATGATGCCTACTGGATAGCGGATTGTTCTATCCGCTAATTGTAGGGCAACCGTTGTAGACTGAAGTTCCCCCACACCAAGCTTTTTAAACAGAGAATGAGGCATAAGATTTATACTAGCCCCGAGATCACAAAGAGATTTTACCTCTCCAATTTTGCCAATAGAACATGGGACAGTGAAGCTTCCGGGATCCTTCAATTTTGGAGGAAGCTTATTTTGAAGGATTGCACTACACTCCTCCGTTAGTGCCACGGTTGCAAATTCCGCTAGTTTCTTCTTGTTTGAGAGAATCCCCTTTAGAAATTTGGCATAAGAAGGAATTTCCGCAATAGCCTCCACGAATGGTATGTTGATGCTTAGCTTGGTAAAAATATCAAGAAACTTCTTGTATTGTTTACCATCATCCTGCTTCCTCAACCTTTGTGGATATGGGATAGGAGGAACATAATTTGCCATTGTTGGAGGTGGTGATATATGTTCCTCCAACTCTTCCTTCTCTTGTGATATTGGTGCATTCTCCGGCGATTTAGGATCCTCCGTTTGTTTGCCACTTCTTGTTGTTATGGCCATGACATTTTCTTTTGGGTTGACTTCCATTGTTGTGGGGAACCGCCCTTGCTCTCTAGTGCTTTTTCCTTGGGCAATTTGCCCAATTTGTACCTCCAAGTTGTGAATAGATGACTTGGTGTATTGTTCTATGTTGTCCATGCGTTGGTGAAGTTTCCGGTTTTGATCTTCAAACCGGAGGTCAAGCTTTGTGAATTGTGAATGGAGATTCCCAATGGATGCCTCCACTCTACTATGATTCTCCTCATTTTGGGCCTTTACACAAGCCACAACATTTTGAGTGAGGGTTTTCATCGTTTCCTCCATGGTTTGCCCTTGTGAAAATCCGGACGGGGGGTTAGACGGACCTCCTTGTGGTTTCCAAGAATTACCTTGATTAAACCTTTGTTGATTGTTGGAATAAGTGTTGCCTCATTGATTCCCCCTATTCCCATATGAATTCATATAATTCACATCTTCAATAGTTTGAGGTGAATTACCTTCCGGTTGTGACATACTCTCCACATTGGCCACTTGATTAGCCCCTCCGATCACGGCTTGTAGAGCCGTGTGAATTGAAGCTTGAAGATCTTTGTGCATGGCTTGTTGAAAATCAGCAAATCGTTTGTCCAATTCATGAGCTATAGACACTTCACTCATACCGGCCACTTTGATATCTCCTCCTTGTAATTGAGGGTTTGAAGCAATGGATTCGAGGATCCTTAATGCCTACGTTTCAGTTTTGTTGCCAATATACCCCTCCGCACGGTTATCTACAATGGCTTGGCATGAAGAGTTCAAACCATTGTAGAATGTGTCAATTTGAAGATCAAGGGGAATGCGGTGGTGTGGGCATTCCTTCAACAAGGCTTTAAAACGCCTCCATGCATCTTGATATAGTTCTCCAACTTGTTGTTTGAAATTGAAGATTCGTTGCCTTAGCTCTTGAGTCATTGTGGGTGTGTAATACTTAAAAATGAAAGCATTATAGATACCTTGCCACGTTGTAAAACTCGCTGGTGTTTGCTCCAAGAACCATCCCCTTGCCGTCCCTTTCAAAGTGTAGGGAAAGCTTTTGAGTTTGAGGGCGTCCTCGGAGAGATCATGCCTAGGAATTCCTTGGATGAATCCATAGAACTCGGTGATGAAGTTAAGTGGATTCTCCCCCGGAAGACCATGAAATTGAGGCATAGCATTGAAGTAGTTATTCTTCATTTCATAGTCCTCTGCCGCCTCGCTTAGGACAATACATGAGGGAGTGGCGGCAACCACGAGCCTCTTCCTTTCATTGAGTGTTGGCATCATTTTTGCTTATTTTCTTTCCCTCTGATTGTGTTTGAAAGTTCTTTTTATTTCAAGATCAATAGGTTCAAGATGTGTAGAACCTTGACTCCTCAAATGCATTCAAACACAAAGCATA